TAGTTGTGTTTATTTGAACTTTCTTTTTTTGTTAATCTGGACAGGAGTCTATCAATCTTATTTGTCTTTTCAAAGAACCAGCTTTTTGTCTCATTAATCCTTTCTTATGATTTTTTTTGTTTCATTCAATTGTGACTTTATTTTAATAATTTCAATTTTTCTACTAATTCTAGGATTGTTTTCTCTTAACTTTTCAGCTCTTATAGATATTGATGTTAGGCTATGTACTTGAGAACCCTCTATTTTCCTGATGTGTGTACAATGTTGTAAACTTCCCTCCCAACTCTGCCTTCATGGTATCCAAGAGTTTTTTGGTATGTTGCGTCTATTTTAATTTGGTTCCAGCAATCTTTTTATGTCTGCCTTGATATCTGTGTTACCCCAAGAGTCATTCAGAAACATGTTTAATGTCCATGTATTTGTGTTTTAGGGAGGGGGATTCCTGTTGGTAATGATATTTATTTTTATTCCACTGTGGTCTGAGAAGATGCATAGTATAATTTTAACCTTTTGAAATTTGTTGGCTGGGCTCAGTGGGTCAACCTGTAATCCCAGCACTTTGGGAGGTCAAGGAGAGTGGATTGCCTGAGCCCACGGGTTCGAGACCTGCCCAGGCTACTTAGTGAGAACTCGTCTCTACAATAAATCAAAAATTAGCCAGGCTTGGTAGTGTGCACCTGTAGCTCTGGCTACTTGGAAGGCTGAGGCGGAAGGATCACTGGAGCCCAGCAGGTCGAGGCTACAGTGGCTGGGAGTATGCCACTGCACTCCAGCCTGGGCAATGGAGTGAGACTCCAACTCAAAAAGAAAAAAGAAACTGGTTCATGCTTGGTTTATACCTGAATAGGTAGTCAATCTTGGAGTATGTTCCATGTGCTGATAAGAAGAAAGTATATTCTGTAGTTGTTGAGTGAAGTGTTTTTGTTGATGTCTGTTAGGTCTAATTGGTCAAGTATTGAGTTAAGGTCCCGGGTTTCCTTGTTAATTTTTTTCCTTGATAATCTGTCTAGGCCTGTTAGCAGGATATTAAAGCCTATGTCTATACTTATATGACTGTCTATGCCTATTCTTAGTTTAATTAGCAATTGTTTTATAAACCTGGGTGCTCCTATGTTGCAGATGTATATATTTTTTCTTTTTCTTTTTTTTTGTCCAAGATGGATATTTCTTGCTGGTGGATTCAGCTCTTTATCATTAGATAGTGTCCTTCAGTTTCTTTTTTAACTTTTATTGGTTTAAGGTCTGTTTTGTCCGATATAAGAATAACTACTCCTGCTTTCTTTGTTTGTTTTCCATTTTCCTGGAAGATCTTTCTCCAGCCCTTTACCTTTAGCCTGTGGTTGTCATTTGCAGTGTGATGGGTTTCCTGAAGGCAGCAGAAGGATCATGTTTCTTCATCTAATTTGCAGTTCTGTGCCCTTTGAGTGCTGCGTTCAAAAATTAGCCGGGCCTGGTATCGCGGACCTGTAGCTCTGGCTACTTGGGAGGCTGTTTAATTTAGTTAGTGATGTGTGGGCATTTATTCCTGTCATGTTGCTATTAAGAGGCTGCTTTGCCTTTTAGGTTTTGTGGTTGACCTGTATGATCTGTTAACTCTGTGTTTGGCTGTTCTTTTAGCAATGGGTTACTTTGTTTCTGTGCTTAGAACTACTTAAGCATCTCCTGAAGGGCTGGTCTGTAGATGGCATGTTCTCTTGGATGTCTGGGAAGAATTTTAATTCTCCTTCATTAATGAAGCTTAGCTTTGTAGGGCAGCAAATTCTTGCCTAGGATTGCTTTTCTTTAACAATGTTAAAGATGGGATCCCAGTCCCTTCTGGCTTGTAGGATTTCTGCCGAGAAGTCTGCTGCAATTCTGATGGATCTTCCTTGGCAGGTGATCTGTCTCTTCTCTCTAGCTGCCTTTAGGATCTTTTCTTGCATGTTTACATTGTGGAAATGGATTATTTTGTAACTCGGGGATCGTCTTCTCATGTAATACCTTGCAGGAGTTCTTTGGATCTCTGGCACCTATCTCTAGCGAGATAGGGAAAGTTAACTCTTGGAGGGCTTGTTCCCAGCTGTTCTCAGTTTGCCCTTCTGTCTCAGGGTTGCCAGTCAACCATAGATTTGGTCTCTTTACATAATCCCAAACCTCTCACAGGCTTTGTCATTCATCTTGAGACTTTTCTCCTTGTTTTTGTCTGACTGGGTTAGTTCAGTAGTTCAATCCTAAAGCTCTGAGATTCTTTCCACTGTCTGGTCGATTCAACTGCCCAGGCTTGTCATTGCACTTTGAAACTTCCGGACAGAATTTTCATTTCCAGGAGTTCAGATTGGACCTTTCTTATGTTGGCCAACTTGTATTTCCTGCACTGTTTTTGTTGCCTGGATGTGTGCTTCCATTTTCTCAAGGCTTTCCTTGACTATCTTTGCCATCCATAGTCTGAATTCTACGTCTTTTATCAAGGACAAGTCCTTCTGGATGGGTTCCATTGCTTGGTGTCTGCAGGTCCTCTTTTGGGTAACAGCTCATTAAGGCTTTGGGAATTGCTGGTGTTTTGTTTGTTTTGCTGGTTCTTCCTCATCTGTGAGGACAGACTCTTCTCATTTTTTAAAAATTTGTTTTGGAGTTAGATATGTTGCTACTGTTGGGTGGCCTTTTGTGAGGTTTTTCTTCTTCTTTTTTTTAATCCCGCAGGATGCTCCCCTGGGGGTGGTAGTCTGTGAGGGCCCAACCAACCACAGTGTGTCCTGCTGCACTTCTGGGTCTGGCTGCCCTAAGAGGTTGCCGCCATTTGGCTGGTGCTGGAAGGTGCCTGCAAGGTGTTATGCGATGTGAAGACACAAGGGTTGAATTCTCAGGGGAGCTGGTCATGATCATCTCTGGAGGACTCTCTAAAAAGCTCTCCAATGCCTCTGTCTGTTGCCTGGTCTGCTAGATGTCCAGTGGCATGGGCTTTATTCTTATCTCCTTCTCAAGGGCTGTATTATTGTCTCAAATGTAATGGGCTGTGTCAGTTGACCTCTAGCCGGGAGGTGGCATTTGGAGGAAACAGCCAGCTGTGATGTGAGCTTTTTTGCTTGGCCTGTGTTTCCTCAGGAAATTACACAGATGACCCAGATGGTGGGTGGGTTTATCTGAACTCCCAGAGTTCCTCCGTGCTTGAGCTTTTGAGGGGGTTAGGGAGGTAAAGCTGGTCAGAGAGGCTAGGTCAGACTGGGCACAATTGACATGGGCACAATTGGCTACCACAGTGAGAGATGGGTCCCCTGGCCATGTGGCCATGCTGCGGGGATGGCTGAGCCTTTTCTGTGGTACAAGAGTTCACCCAGGGAGAGTGGGGTTGCCAGGACGACAGCCCCTCCTGTGCTCTCCGACTCCCCTTCCCTGGCTGGGGCTGTCCATGCTCAGAACCCACATGGGCTGCCACCCGCTGGTCTGTGTGCCTTCTTCAGTGGGACTCGGGAGTGGGGACAGCCCTCGTGGCTGCAGGAGTGGCCGAGCCTTCTGCTGCACAGAAGGGGTCAGGTGGGGAGAGGCAGGCTGCCAGAAGGCTGGGCTCCTTCTGGCTTCCTTCCCTCCCTGGAGGCTAACTGCCTTCAAAACGCAAACGTTCTTTGGGCAACAGCGTCTCTCACTGCACCTTGCCCCAAACTCTGCTTGCCCCAAACTCTGCTACCTGCCATGACAGAACCTGCCCTTGGGGCGAGTGAAGGCCTCTGGGCCGAGGTCCTTTCCAGCCAGCCAGGGCCCAGCACTGCTGCAGGGAACATTCTGGAGAAGGGTTTGTTTGGCCGGGTGCTCAGATCTCGGGTGGTCCCCAGCTCCACGTGGACCCTGGCGCCAGCGGCAGCGGTCCCTATCCATGCCACTTCCCTTCAGGGCCAGAGTGCGGTGAGGCCCAGTGAGGTGGGTCCCAGTCCGTGGAGGTAGCAAGCGCTGCATCCTAATGCCCCGTCCTCGCCAGGTGGCACATCAGAGGCCTGTTTGTTTCCATTGTGAGCCAGCGGGGAAGGGGCTTCCTGGTGCCACACGGGCTGCTGGGTCTCGCCCTCCCTGCTCTCTGTGGCCCAGTGTCCCCTGCAGGGTGAGCCATGCAGCCTTCTCCTGGATTGTCCCCGCGGGACTCTTCCTTGGTCTGCTCCAGCAAAAAAGAGGCGCAGCCAGCTGCTGCTGGGTGTCCAGTGGCGTCCCCGCCATGCATTGTTGGTTTTCTAGCCTGGAGTGTTTTCTTAACCGTGCAATCAGACTGTGTTTTGGGGTATGATTGCCCTTGTTTCCATACTTCAAGAATATATTTAAAAGTTTATATATATTTATAAAATATTTGGAAAATTCAGAAAATCCTCACAGAAGATATATATGAACATGAACTTGTAGAATACTTGTGCAGTATAGAGTATGCATTAATGGCAAATGCCAGTTAATAGAAGGGCAGATATTAGGAAAATAACTTTTGTAAGGCAGCTATTCTTAGAGTAGTTTTATTTTATTTTTAATTTAGAGTACTTATTCTCCTTTTTATTTTTTTCTCCTTGTACTTATTCTCTTTTTATTTTTTCTCTTTTTACCATATATCTCAATGTGGTTTCGGGACTAAAACTACCACTATACTGCTCTGTTTGAAGTTTAAAGAAATTCTGTAGCAACCAAGCCCAGTTGTATTTTAATCTTTACCACTTATAAAATGGATTTGTCAAATTTAATTTGTTTTTATTATGCACTAAACATTGTTTCAAGAAAATATGATTGACTATTTTCTATATATCAATTTAAGTTCATTTATTCCCATACAAATTTTTACTTTAAAAAAATCTTCCTTTCAGCAGAACATTAGTTTGCTCTGTCTCTATCATTCAGTTTTAATGAGATCAAAGAGAAGCAGACATAGCTTAGTGAGTGGTATGGCATGCATAATATAAATTATTCCCTAAATTTTCTCATCACACTAATGTTAAAAGTCTCTTATATGTAGTATTGTGTATACAAACTTCATTTGGACCCTTTTAAAATTGCAGTGTCCTCTCACATGGCAGAGCAAGTGGGAAGGCCCAGAGGATCCCCTACAGTACCTGCGAGGTCTCATAGCCCGTGCCCTGGCCATACAGGTAAGCCCACGTCCTTCTTTCCTGTTTGTGTTGTATGACTGTTTGACTACTTCATTATAGTCATGCACATTGAGATGACCTTTTTGCTAGTGACTAGTGAGAATTACATTATAATTTTGTACGTAAAACACTGTATATTCACTCCTTCTTCTGCCATCTCTGATTTCTGTTGAGCGCTCTTTGAAGATACAAGTGTGTCTTTTCTGTATACTGTGGCTTTTCATTATTTTGAGAATGTAGAGAAAAGTGTACAATCTGAGTAGATAGATGGATCATGTAGATGGCAACCCAAGCCGATTCATAACTGTGACTAGTTTGCTTTAGGGCGTATCTCCCTGTGGGAGTTGCTTCAAAAAGTTTTTTTCCCAAATGTGTCAAATTCTTTCAGAGTGAACCCGTCAGGCAACTTTAGGAAAGGAAATAAGATGGAAAAGAGTGCAGTGGGAGGAAGTGCGAGCGTGAAGGAGAGAGTAGCAGGTGACCACAGCACTTCCCGTCTCCTCTGCTTGTTGCACCTGCTTCGGTGCCTCCCCAGCTCCTGGCCCTGAGTAGCTCGGTCCGTGTCCTCCTTGATGCCTCAGGTCTTATCCATTCACGCGTCTGGCCACGTATTCAGCCCCCGCATCACTCGTCGCGGTTCCACCTTTGCCTCCCTGAAGAGTACATACCATTTTTTGACAGCTGCATTTCACTCTCGGCTTCTTGCTTTCTTAGACTTCCGAGTCTCTTTTTTCTCAGTGTTCTCCCAGCTGGTCACTTTCTTTCCTGGTCCTGGCCAGTTCAGCCTGAATCCATGACACATGGAACTTGACTCTCTTTCTAGCATCTTCATGACCAAACTCACTTTTCTGTATGCTTCAGCCTTGCTGAAATGTGTTGGCCTGGATCGGTATCTGTCTGTACACGGGCTGTTGAGCTCTGCTAGGGACACTTCAGGTATCAAGTGTCCAGTATTGGATGGACCCTGAGTGCTGCTCCTGTCTTCAGTGATGGGTTCAGCCCTTCGCTTTTTTCCTGAAGACTCCATTCTGTCATTGACTCCCTTTCCCTTAGCAGGACATTTTACTTTTTACTTCATAGAGGAAATTCAAGCTGTGAGATACCATCCCTTGAAAAGTCCTGCCCTTTTTTCCCATCTACAAATTTATCTGAAGCCATATTCATCATCTCTGTTCTAAAGAAGTTAGCCTTATGCTATTGAAAGCTCATCTCCAAACCCGAGTACTTGATTTGGTCTGCTCTTATCTCTATGGGGACTCCCTCCAGGGGGTCTTCCCTTGTTCTTCTGTCTTGGCAAATCTTTCCTTCTCTTACTCTGTTTGCCTGCCTGGAAATGGAACTGAATGACTGTTTGGCTTCTATTGAAGAAGACCAATCCTCTGGGTCTGTAGGCTTAATGAAGAAAAAAGTAGTAGTTTTGAAAATGAGGTTGAAATTAACAGGTAGAAAAGAATCAGGCAGCACCTCTGATCTCCTAAGCTTTCCAACTGCCATGCATATGCCTGGACATAATCTATCAACCAATGCTGGAGAAAGGGAGGGAGGGAGTGGGGGAGGGGTGGAGGGAGGGAAGGAAGGAATAGTCCATCATTGGTTTTACAAAGTATAGAAACACTTTGAAGTTCTTTGTGTTTTATAATTGCATGGCTATTTTTTACCACTTCATATATTTTTCAGTATTGTTTCCTTTAGATTGTTTTTATAGAGGGCAGAGACTTTTTTTAATATGCTACAAATGATAGCTTGTGTTATACTATGTAAGTACACTTAATAATTATGCTATATGCTTATAATGATAAATATATTATTGATTTAGAAATTAATATTCTTTTAAACAAGTTTAAATAAACTGCAATTTTCTGGCAGAGTTTTTCATACTTAGTATATTGAATACTGGCCATCAAAACCGAACACTTTTCCACTGTGCAGTTTTCTTAAAAGCTATATAGGCATTTAGCCTTTTAATTTTCATGGTAAAATACCCTCCTAACTTTCAGGCTTGACTGTAGCTCACCTTCTATCTTCCCAATCATGAAATATACAATATTTCTCACTTTCACCAATACTGGAGGTTTATTTTTAATCTTATTTTGTTTTTTCTGGCTTAATATTTTTTCCGTTAGATGTACAAAGATGTCCACCTCTCCGAGGGAACTTTTTTTTTTTTTTTAGAGTTGGAGTCTCACTCTGT